GTAGATTCTATTCAACTTCTACTTATAAATAAATAAACACCCTCTCTCACAAGCAAACAAAAAACACCCCCTGAGAATCATTTGCAGAACAAGTTGCAATCCATTATTGTAAAGCTTTTATTGTATCATTGTAACTTCAAATGTTGTAAAACAGTTTTCTACGATTCTAAGTTTCTCCTCTGAAAGGAGATTTTCTTGCTTCAGTTTTGCAATAAGTGCTTCTAGAGCTTTAAGTCTGCTTAGGGTTTTTCTCTCCTGAACTTCTAAAAGGGCTATTTTTGAGTGCAGCTTTGTAATTTTTTGCCAGAGTTTTTCCCTGTCTGTGTCTTGCCTACAGTACGAATGCTCAGTTTGTAGCACTTCAAGGCTGCTGCAGCTGCTGATTACAACAGAGTTTTCCGTTTCCAGATGGGTTAATACCTCTTCTGCTGATACAAAGGAGCCCTCTAATAGCAAGGGAGGTCTTGAGTCCTCTGAAGGAACAATAATGGTGATGACAGACTCCTTATTTCCACCAAGCTGTTCCAAAGCTCGTGACATGGTCTGAAGCAACACTGAGCTTTCATGAGTTTGTACTTCTACTGAGCAACTTGCAATGCGAGGATCAAACTGATCAGATGGAAGTTCGGTCATGGAAATGGGGACCTTATTGAATTCCAGAGATGAATCTCCATGTTCAAGATGTGTGGCCTGCAAAACTGTGGCTTTAGAATCTGAGCCATGCTCAAGACACGACTGGAGGTCATGAACTGAAGCTTGCAAATCTGTAGCAGCAGCACTAAAAATGTTTTTGACAACACTATTATTTCCTGGAAAGTTGGAACTGATGGCTCCTGGGTTTGGCATATGAGATGTTATTATCATGGAGCTTGTTTGCTGCTTATTCTGTTTAACAGAATTACCTGAATATGCAATGCCATCTTTCACAATATTCTGTGACACTCCCTCCTTTCTTGCTGAGCTGTCTGAATCTGTATCGAGAGTTTTTTGATATAGGCCTCCTTCACATAAAATATTTCTCTTTGGTGAACAAGATTTAAGAGATGATGTTGTTATGCATGTGCTCATTTCTTTGATGCCTTCTATTGTTTCTTCTTGCAGTTTCTTCTGGGATTTCCCTTTTTCCTTAAGAAGAAAAAAACCATTCCCCTTGATTCAATTGTTACTGATTATGAAATACCGCACAATGATTCCTTCTCTTATGATCTTTTATAGTGTAATCCTGTGCCTATTCATTGAAAAGTAAGTCCTACCATGATCAGTGGCCTTATTCCCTAACAAATGAACACATGATTTCAGCCTTTTATTTGCTCTTTTAATTCTGCTCTTCAAAAGGAATGCAAGCAATGCCAACAAATAGCCTCTTCTCTGTCATGGTTTGTTAAAGAAATTAGATACCAAACTTGAATTATTTTATTAAGATTAAAATTGTAATACATAAGTATTTCAATAAACTGAGAAGAGATTAGCTCAGATGTAGCCTGGATTAATGTAGCTTTAACATTTTTAAAAGCTCACTTTAGATTTAACAACTTTTACAACCCTAGTGAGGTCATATAAGGAAAAGCGCTTCACAAAGACTGAGGGACAGTCCTGGCACAACAGATCAAATTACTGCTTCAGGCTAATGATCCTTTTCCTGGAGTGTGGTATCCAAGCAAAGTTTCTCAAAGAACAGGAAACGTCACCTGGATACAGTCACTTCTATGGAAGGCAGACTCACCCAGAGTCTGCCTACCATAGAAAGTGATTGTATCCAGGTGACATTTCCTGCTCTTTGAGAAACTTTCCTTGGAAACCACACTGCAGGAAAGGTATCATCGGCCTGAAGCAGTAATTGAGGATATTTCAATGCTAACTTATTTTTAAGAAAACATGAGCCAAGTCCTTAAAAAAATAGGTCTCACACATCCAGGTAAGTGTGTGTAGAATTGCAGCCCTAGCTTGGGAAGGAGCTTCTTCAGTAACACACACTATCAGGATAGACGTCACAAGAAGCATGGTTGCTGTTTCCTACACAAACGCTCATGGGAGAAGGGCAGTAACACAATAATCGTTATCAGTTATGTTAACATGTGCCTTTCCCAGGTGGTGGCTACAGATAACATGCTAAATATAAGCATGTTTGAAAATGATATTTTGAATGGCAGAGGCACAGTTGCTATGAGTTATGTGAATGTGTCATACTTTAAACTTTGTACCATGATAGTGGGATTCAGTCAACTGAGTGTAAGATCCAGATAGTTTTTGCAAACACCAATGCTACAGGATAGAAAAGTTTCCAAAATACTTTTTTTTTTGTTATTCACAGAAAATCTCCCAGTTTTACTGCATTTTTTTCATACAACTGAACATCATGCAATATAGATCTGGCTGGAATGGATATGGACAAAAAGTGTTGTGGAGTTTTAAAGAGGTGCTTTGCTTCAATGAAACATCCCTTTGAAGCAGCACAGTGCTGGGCAGTTGTGCCTAGATCAATCAGTTACTTCTCCACCATGGGAAATGAAGCATCAAGTGAGCAACTCAGCACATTGGTAACATATACTGTACCAGTCAAATCTGAAATTGCAATTGCAATTATTTTTTTCCAGATGCCAATCCAAGAAGGGCCTATGTGTTTAGCCACCTCTACAGATGTGCTAAAATTAGCACATAAATAGCTTTCATTTCAGGGAACAATATGCTAGTATTTAGTATTTATAGTATTTAGTAGTCAAGTCTTAATGTTTAGATATATTCTAAAGAAAACAATGTTTAAATTAAATTTTGAATGCAAAAATAGCAAAAATTTAAACCAGGCTAGGTGTTTTTTATTGGTTTTTCTCCTATTCAGATTAGCTAATGGAAAAACTCTGGGTTTTTGTACAACATATATACAATTTGTTTATCTAATGGAAATGAAGCATATTGGTTTACGTTCCATAAATTTACAGCGGAGGGTTTCTTTTTCTAAGAAACCCACATTGTTGGTTAGTACAAATAAATCTCAGTTTAATTGCATGATTAGGCTGCAGAGGCTTCAAACAATCAAACAATCATCTTGGTATGCCACAAATCCACCTTCTCAACAGTAAACAGAAAAAGTGTAAGTGAATTAAGAATTTGGACACTATTAAAATAAGGAGATACATACTCACTGCTGCTGAGACAAGTATCTTTATCCCCTAATTTTTTTTTTTTTGGCAATGTTTATTTTACTTTCAGCTCAAGCTAATTGCATTTTCTCATCCTTTGACTTATTTCTGACATGCAACTTAATGTTTTACCTGATTTTCAGAGGATGAAAAAATAGTTGGCACTGCAGTTGTTTTCAAATATCGAATGCCCCATCGCACATCTAGAGAATCTGGTGTAAAATGGTCACTGCAGAGGACCTGATGTTTACTAGGAGTCCAAGTGTCACGTTTCATATTCCGTAACCATTTCTCTAATCTTTCTTTATCATGGAGAGGAAATCTGCTTCAAAAAATATGTAAAAAAGAGAGAGAGAGAGAGAGAGAGAGAGAGAGAGAGAGAGAGAGAGAGAGAGAGAGAG